CGGGGTCAGATCAGGCGCAATTCCCACACTGTGTCACTGGTGTGTACAACTCTTCTTGATATGAGTGAGCTATTGAATTGTATGACATGTGGATGAAGTGCCAATAAAACTGGTGGGTTTTTTTTTAAGTTATCCTTCAAAAGGCTGACACAATATAAACTCCATCACTTAGTAGAGGCATGGGCTAAACTCTGAACTAGAAGAAGCTGTAAAACCCAATACAAAGAAGACCTTCTTTTTTGGCGATCTCAGTCTTGCAGAAGAGGCAGATAGTAAAACATCAGCGATGCGGCAGGCCTGGGCAATCAGGAAGCCCGGAGATGCCAGAGCAGCTAAGTGGTAACCAGCCATTTCAGTTTCTGAGTTATCACAGGTCACAGTTGACTTTTCACTTGGACATTTCAGTAACCTTTGTGAAATGTTTCAAATTCCTCTCAGCTACCTCCCATAAGCGTTCTCTTTTTATTTACACAGGAGAACACACAATTTCCTGCTCTCTCTCCAACTCAAATAACTGAAATCTACTTCCTTTCAAGCTTACCAACACCGAGTTGATTCTGACACACAGCCACTCTAAAGGACAAAGAAAGAAAGCACCTGCATGCATGTCCAAGACTGTAACTCTTTCCAGCGTAGAGCCTCATCTTTCTCCTGAGCAGCTGCTGTTGGGTTCGAACTGCTGACCTTCTGGTGAGCAGCCCAACACATACCTAACCCACTAAGCTAGCACTTCAGCTTTCCCTAAACACAGTTGTATTCCACTCCCCTCTCTCTTAATCCTCCCTCAGATACCTACTCATCCAGTTTGGGGACCTAAATGTGAAAAGTAGGCCCATTTCAATGTGGGATTTAATATGGACTCAGATCTCTGAACACCACATGGCAGACCACAGAAACGAAGCAGAGGTGCATTGGAATTTCACATCATCGTGCGTGAGTAGAGGTGGGAAGGTGGGACTATTTTGCTCAAGCAAGCGTCAGTTCTAACAATTTTTATTCTGATTAGAGCCAATCCTGATGCACATGTCTTGTGTTTGAAGCCTCTTCGCCTTGCAGATTAGCTATCTAGATTGTCCACAGTAGAACTTTTTGACAAAGGACAGGAACATTTTTCAGGCCCTTCATAACAGCGTCAAACTCTTTTCCAGAACACTCATTAATTTATAGTCCCATTAGTTATGCAAGAACATACTCCATCCACTGAATTTTGCAAGAACAGTTTTTAATTTAAAAAATTGATCAGTAAATAACAGTGTGTTATTGCTGTTTTATTTGGAATTTCCTCAATCAGATATTAGATTGAGACTGGCCTTTTAAAGATTGTTTTGGTGAGATAGATATATTTCATCATCTTAAATAACTATCCCTTCATTCTTATATTATTGTGTTGATTTTAACATCAAGACTAAATATTGAATTTCATTAAATGCCTTTACAGCATCTTTAAAAACAACAACCAGCCTCACTGCCCTGGAGTCGATGGGGACTCATAGTGCCCTTCAAGGACAAGGTGGAACTGCCCTGTGAGCCTCAGAGACTCCAACTCCATGGGAGATAGTGCCCTTCGAGGACAGTGTGGAACTGCTCTGTGAGCCTCAGAGACCCCAACTCCATGGGAGATAGTGTCCCCTCGAGGACAGTGTGGAACTGTTCTGTGAG